CAACATTTCAAACGTTTTTGAGGACTAAGTTCCATCTTTTACAAAAAAATTACTTTTTCCAGATTGAGCAAAATGCCTTTATTATTGTCAATGGGCATCGGTTCATGTCCATCAGGTTGGTCACTGTCGGTTAGGTACCAATTTAAATGTGTCGAATTAAGGCTCGTTCGTGCTTATCCGAATATTCACATTTTTGTTGCAAATTGTAAAATAATCATCGCAATGAGCGTTCATACTTGTACGGCATATTTTCATGCAAATAGTTCATATGCTGTCAGCTGCCATTTTCTTTCTATAATGAAAAACCATAACTCAAAATTGTTTTGTTTACAATAAAGAACACATATTGACGGAATACGGCTTCTAGGTGAGACTGAAAAGAAGTTACTGCCAAAGTTTCCGAAGGAAGTATGGTTTATGTAATATTGAATAAGAGTATCAATCTTGGCCCAACTATCAACAGCAAGTCATTAAATTCAGATCAAATTACATGAAAATGGATGAAATTAAACTTGAAATAGAACTGCTCAATCAACCTTAGTCAAAACATCAATTTTGATATTTATTTAACTGTTAGTAATGCCATATTTTTTTAACGTGGTTGAGTTGAAGAATAACGAACATTACATCTTCTTTCTATTTTTTTTTTTNAAAAGTATAAATAATGTTTCCAGGCATCCATATCTAAAACCAATGTAAATAAAAATGGCATGGTATGTAAAATTCGCAATAAATTTCAAGTATTTCTATTTCTTGGCGGTATTTGTAGCAACCATTTTATTTGCAAAAATTTTGCGAAATTCTGACTAGCATGACTGCGCCTTGAGGCGTCACTTTCAAAGTGCGATCATATTGTCGCCCGATCGAGCTGGCAATGCTTCTTACTTCATTGAGAGTATTTCATGTAGCTTATTGCACCTTAAAATGAGGGTTACCTGGAACCTTGCCAAGGACGTTAGAGTCATGTCCATTCATTGGTGGAGCACCCAACAACCTCGTTCAAATGTGTGATAATTTTCTTGGAATAAACTATCAGTGGTGTAAAAAACATTTCCCGCCTAATATTAGGTCAACTTGAATCTAGTTTCAATGGGTTTGGCGACAATTTGAATGACGCTCATTTGGTGGCAACTTACATGCCCCCTGATAAACACCTATTTACATTCCCCTCATTGGGTGCCAATGTATATACCCCTTTTTGGACACAAATTATTATGTTCTTCGTGGGAAGCCAATCTGGTAACTTCTGGTTACAAACTCATTTATGGTAACGGCTTATAAGGGTGTGTGTATGCCTTACAGCTATCTGGAAGAGATAGATCGAGTGGCAGCTAGGTTCTACTTGCCTACCGAGCAGGACATCTTACGTGTGAGGGTGCCCACAACCGGCATCATCGAATATCCATTTGATCTGGATGAAATCAGGTTTAGGTAGGCCGGGCTACATGGACGATTAAGGCATGAGAGCTTAGCAGCACTCACAGTATCTCTAGTGGAGTTGGGGATGTCATTTTTGTCTCTATCAAGCCATTGATAGCCCAAACAGGTTTTTCTAAAATGTGGTTTTTACGAATTGCAGTTTTCAAATTTTGTTCTTACAGTAAAATAATTTTCAAATAGTAGTAACTCATTGCGAGCAAAATGAGCCTTTCGCGGTGTTGAAATTAGAGTTATACAAAATGAACACTTGTTTTTCTATAGATCATGGTGTAAAAAAGAACGAAACTTTCTATTATAAAAAATCATTTGTAAAAAAGCTATCAATGTAGTTCAATGTTGTCGACAGTTTTTATATCCTGAAAAGGCGGATGAAAACTATTTCTATCATTGGCAAATCAGTGTATTGAAGAGCGGCATGTATATTTTCAATCCAGTCATAAAATTGACCACATCAGGAAATAATATTTTATATAAATAACCATTTCATTTTGATAAGAACAAGTTATTTCCTGAAACTTATATAGCAATTATTTTAAAATCATATGTGGCAATGGAATGAGTTTGCATATTTTTAAATATCCATACCAATGAATGGAGTATTTATTGGTTCTCAAGTAATAACACATAGAGAGAGTTTTGAAAAAGTTTGGGATAGTAAAATTCAAGTATTGAGAATATATAAGTATATTCAATAATATACAATGTGTAAATGAATAAATATAAACTTTTGAGTATTAAAACCATACCCCAAAGTAAGTTACACAACACTTAATTCACAATTTACAATAAAAATTAATATTAGGAAGATATTATATTTAATGTGTTTTCATATAATATTTCTTTGGTAAGAGATCTGAAAATATATAAAACAATTTGTAAATGTTTATTTACCATGGCTTTTTCAATAACAAATCAACTACCCCACGTCTTGGAAGATTCTGTTTGGTTCAGTCACTTCAATCGTTTATTATTTGTAATCTAGGAAAATATAAGATGATATCTTCAACAACTCGCAAAATTCGTTGTTTGCACGTCGTATTTAGTCACTTGAACGGTTTTCTCTAAGGCGTACTCACACATTCTACAAGCAAATTTGTCGTGATAGCCCTTATTTCTGAAATATGGTAAATTTCACACAAATCAAAGGGAATCGATGCCCTTTGCAATACACAAATAGAGGATAAATTCTCTATCAAGTAACTTTTAAAAAGTTTGTATCATATTAAGAATAAATTTAAAAGTGCTTCCCTTTAAATTTTTGCTCAGTCTCATTTTCATTGCAGAAATGCATTGTAAGATTGATTTTTAATATGAAATATAGGGATAGCTGTTTCAACCGATATAAAAATGTGCGTAACATATACCACTGATGATGTCTGTTTCAGTAGTAGACGAAACGTTTGCTACTACGCCTATGTTCTAAAGTATACTTCTCTCAGCCAGAGTGCAATGAGGGGTTGAAATGCAGTGCTCTGAAAGCTTTTATTACGATTGGATCAGAATTTTAAAATACCAGGGTGGTTCCAGAAGTACCCGGCCCAACAAAGAAAACAACAATTTTTGAAGAAAATGTGTTTTTATTTTTTAAGTCTCCTTGCAGCTCTTTTCTAGCGACGTTCAATAAGTTTCATACCTTTTTTATAATAAGAAGTCTTGCTCATCAAAATAGCCATCATTTGGCGACATCACTTCTTCATTCTTGAAAAATCTTCGACCACTGAGCAATTTTTTTCAATTTGGGAAGAGAAAATAATCCGAAGGAGCTAAATCTGGTGCATAGGGCACATGAGGTAGCAATTTAAACTAAATTTGTTAATTTTGGTCATTTCAGTAATGGATTTGTGAGCTGGTGCATCGTGTTGATGGAACAACACTTTTTTTTACTAGCTAAATGCTGCCGTTTTTGCTTGATTTCTTCACTCAAACGTTGCAATAAGTTTGCATAATACTCGCCGTTGATAGTTTTATTTTTTTCAAGGTTGTCAATGAAAGTTATTCCACGCGCACCCCACAAAACCGAAGCCATGACCTTGTCTGCAGATGAAACGGTCTTCGCTTTCTTTGGAGCCGGTTCTGCTTTTTGGGTTCACTATTTTGATTGTTCTTTTGTCCCGGGTGTAAAGTGATGGACCCATGTTTCATCCATGGTTATGAAACACAAGATTTATGCTTTGTTCCTGTGAAACTTCGCTAAACACCCAATTGAAACATCTTCACGACAATGTTTTTGTTCGAGTGTGAGCAAACGCGCACCCATATTGCACACAGCTTTCTCATGTCCAAATTTTCAGATAATATAAGATGTACCGTACTTTTTGAAATGCCTAATAAGTCAGCTAATTCGCGCACTTTCAGTCGATACGATCATTCAGTACCGCTTTGTGGATTTTCTTCAACGTTTCTGCGAGTCATCAGCTCACTTGGTCGACCATTGCGATGCTCGTTTTGGTAACTCGTAAGGCCACCCAATATTTTTATGTTGTAAACAAAGGAGCAGACTCGCCAAGAGTAGAAACCAGTTCAGCTTCTATATTGGTTGGGCTGAGGCTTTTCAAATGTTCGCTATTGATGGCTGCCAAACAAATACCAAATAATGCAGCGTTTTGAAATTTGAAACATGCTTTATAGATTGTGTATAGTATCGACTACAGGATTAGCTTTTTCAACTCTCTGAAATTGACGATTTTTATTTCTTTATGGTGGAAATTGAAAAACCATCTTCTTAAGATCTCTAATAAATACCCTTTTTTCCTTTGTGTACACAATATTTCCAAATTTTCAATATTCAATAATTTTTAACCATTTCCGATATGTTTCACTTTTCACTGCAGTTTTAACCGTAATGTACATGATTTTTGAAGTTTTTAAACGCTTTAGAAAAACTATTCATGTACTCCTGGTTCTTCAATTTAGAATTGTGTACCACATAATTTGAAGATACCATTTCAGTAGTATATTCAATGTTTTATCTTCCTTTTGGCGACCTAAGTTTGTAAAAATTGTGGCAAGAAGTGTATGTTGAAAGAATAATTACAATTCTTTGCAAGAAGTACTACTTTCTGAAATATTCTCTACTTCAAAAAAGCAAACTTAGTAGTATGGCTGATCATCAGATACATAGAGTCGTGTTAGGAATGACACGTTGAAAGGTAAGATCTCGTTAGTCCTTAGCTAAAACAAGTTTCGACTTCTGAGAGTTGTCGTTCGTAGGGGGGCGACAGCTGGTTAACGGAAAAACAGATTTTGAACAGATTTTTTGACCTTCTATACCATCAAAAGAAAACTATTTTTATAACGGAGGTTATAAAGCTTTTGTTAATTCGGGGAATCCTCAGTCCCGATGCCCCGCTTTGTTTTGAAAAACGAGTGTAATATATTTGAAACCAATTTAACAAAAAAAAATCGATATGATTTATGTCCGGGCGGTTAAGCGGCCGAACTATCTTTGGCTATGAAAATTACTGTTTTATAAAAGGAGATCCGCTATCATCGAATTCCTTGGCAATTGTTTATTTTTTACCTTGCGTTGCTGCATGTTGCATGCCTTGTGTTGGTTGCAGTTATCTTAGCGACCTGGAACGAATTAGAGCTCCCGATTACCTGCCCACCGAACAGGATATCCTGAGGGCGCGAGCGCCGACTACGGGCATCATAGAATACCCATTCGATCTCGACTCCATTATATTTAGGTACGGTAAGTTATACGGTACTGAAACGATCACCATCACATACACATTTGTTCGATGAATGCCATTCATTTCATTGGAATTATACCAGTCAAAATAGACATTTCATCTCATAATAATTCGCATATAGCGAAAAATTGATACAGGTCACAAATTCACTGTTGTAAATGAAACTTCAAGAGGCCCCACTGATTCCATGTTCGCGTAAGAATTTATTCAAGGTCAAATGTCAAAAATATTGTTTTTTTATTTCATTTTTCCAGTTAACGGTTTGTGATATTGTAAAAACATTTCAGATGACCGCTGAAAATCATCCCATTGTTACAAAAATTGTCGTTAAGAGTTGAAGTAAGTATTTTAAATTATACACATTTTTCAGCGTTATTCCTCCACGATATAGTGTATTGCAGTTCGGTTTTATTAAGCAATAATATTGATAATGATGAAAGGTAAATAAATTATTTATCATCATATTGTGAATCTGATTAATTGTCTTCAAATGTTACTCTAACAGTAATGTCTTCTTATGTTCATTCTTCCTATCTTTGTTGGATATATATACATCAGTTATTTCGTCATAATCCATATCTATATAATTTAACTCAATATTAGAGCAAGAATGGCAAATAGTGCATATTAGGAAACGAAATAATCCAACCATAGCTGCCATTCAATAAATAAATTTTCAAAAGTTATTCTAAAGTACAAAAATATCAGATAATTTTTTGTAGAATACATCTATGACATTAATTTAACTATTTCAGAACACTTATAAGTGAAAAAATTGTATTTCACCTTTGGATTTTATTATTTTTTTTTAGCATAGACGACATTAGTGAGAACTTTTGATATTCCATTTATAATAGTGTATCAATTTTCAGCTTTATGGGAATTATGCTTAGCACTTTTTTCGATTATTTTGACTGGACTATTTAGTCTGGTTCACAAGTTTCATTTTATCGAAAACCTGACCTCCAAGACAGAAAATTATCATGGAGGTATCTTTCGATTCAGAATGGCGTCTAAACCTTTACGATAAGTATCTACCAGTAAAATTGTGAAAGTTAAAATCAATCATGTAAAAAAAGTGGTTTGGTTGCAAAAATCCCCAAAACTATTTGACAAGTTTGAAATCTAATTAAAAAACTGTAGTAAGTAAGAAATTCACTAAAAAATGAAATTTGTTTTGTCATTGCCAAAAGCTTATCAAATCTCAAAATTCCATTCCTTTAGTTTGGGACTACTCCATAAGGTCAGGATCCTCTGCTTCGATAGCAGAATCTGTTGGGAGTTATCTATAAATATTATGAAATACTGGTGGTATCAGTGGAAGTGCATCCATGAGATCATTTTTCTTTACCTCAGGTACTTTTGTTGAACCTGTCCTATGGCAGGCATCCCTCTTCTTCTAAAACTCATTGATTTGAAGGGTTCTTCTTCTGTTAAGGAGTTCTTGTACAACAGAGTACCGTGGTCTTGAGTGTACTGAAGCCACTGAACATTATGCCAGGAAAATAAATCCCCATCCAAATTCTTCTTCCGTAATACCCAAGTGTCAGTATAAAAAATCACTTATTCAGTAGTAGAAGGAAGTTTGCCAAATGATGAAACAAACATGAAGCTATTTCACTTGCTCCTCGTCCTGCTGTTGCCTCATGCCACATGTGGTTGTAAGACTGACCAGTTACATTGTCATGAATAGTAAGATTAATGTAGGAGCTACAAGTCAGCTTATATACTCCTGACTTGTGGTTCTTGTCCAAAACTGGATATTGGCCAAACAGGAAGAACATTTTCCCAAAGAATTAAAGAGAATAGAAATAGTTTTGTAAATAGAAAGACCAATTCCACATTTGCAAACCGCCTTTTAGCAGAAGGACATCAGTTCAATCATGAATACGATGTGTTACATTCAGAAGAGAAGAGTTTGAAACTCAATCTTCTAAAATGTTTAGAATTAGAAATCAATAGATTCTGGAATGAGGGTAATTTACTGAATGATCAATTAGAATTGAATAACTCTCCGTTACTGAATATTTTTTTAAACTAAATTTTTTTGTCTTGCAAGGTTTTTTAAAAAGAAGTATTTTTTAACAGGTCAACGAATAATAATTTTCGGATGGCTTTGAAACTAGTCTGATCTGCTTAGTCTTTTGTAGTAGATTTTTGTCTGAAAAAAGGTTTTGTACAATTTTTCATTAATTTATTCCGAAATCTCATGTTTTCCTTCTTTTTTCACAAAAATCTACTACGTGACCTTTTTCAATCAATTTTTGACATTTATATTGTATTTTTATTGTGAAATTTATTCAGATTTGTATGTATCATTATTAGTCATGTGGCATATGAATGGTTATTGGATTAATTTTTTCAATTCATAGTTCAAACTAAGAAACGCCTACTGGGTGTGTTGTCTTACCAAAAATGGGCAATATTTTGGAAATATTCAAAGTATTCACTTGTTTTCGTCAAAAAAACTACCTTTGGGCTGGGTATTTTTTATATGTATAGATCCAGACGAGGAAGTGTTGAGCTAGGTGAAATTTTGTACAGTAACTCTCATAAGTACCTCTCAAACTGAAAAATATCCCATGAATGCCGTACCCAGTAAAACAATAAAACTGAGGCAGTCCTTGTCATTAGACCAGTGGTCAAGAAAAATAACAGTAAAAATATTACCGTAACGGGTACTTCAAGAAACGTAAGTGATCTTTCAAACTATACAAGTGGTCGATTTTCCTAAAAAAAATTGAAACGGTTTTGCTTATTTTTTTGGCCATCTTCGGCTGCTGGTCGATGCTATGAAAGCAATCTTTGTTATTGGACTTTCACAGCTGTACTATGTAGAATTATCTAGGTCCTTTTTAACTTTTTTACAGTGTAATAACAAGCATTTGTTTCAATGTGATAAACCTAAATTGTTGAAAAACCTTCTCCCTAACTAGATGGACTCCAAAGTGACATTTCGATGGCAGGGAAAGGACGGAGTGTAGAATTAAAGGTTGCTAAGTTATGTCCTGTGCTTTCTTTGCGAATTGTTGAGTTAACGTACTATACTAATGGCAGTTTAAAAAAATTAAATAGGAGCTTGGTTTTTTGTGCGAGCGAATGCTGCGAATGTGACTGGTTGAAGAGTGGATGAAGTGTACAACAATAGATTATGAATTTGTAAAATCATTTTTTGTCAAAGTATAGAATTTTTTCTGATTATTGGTGTGTTATTTTTCCCTACTCCTTTATTCAAGTCATTCAAAAATGTTTTTGACTGAAATACACTGCCTCACTTTGTTTTTTCTCAAATTGTTTCATATTGTTTCGGAAAATTCAATTAAATTTGATATCTTCAATGGCAAATATGTCAAATATTTGCGTTTGAAAAATTTTCATTTCAAGCTGACAGATCTAGTAGAGTTCAAAATGGCATTAATCTCTACAGATCATTTACATGACAAGAAAAAAATATGTTTGCATAATGGAAGTAAAAACTTATGGAATGCGCATGAGTAAGACTAGGCATCTGCAAGTGAAGCCTGAAGTGCAATGAGTAGTAATGGCGCCAAAGGCAGATCCACACTTTTACATTTAGTTCAAATACAAATATAGAAACATGAATAGTCATTGATTTAATGTTAATTACGACAACGAAATTCAGGCAAATTTTATGACACTTCATGATTTATTACTCTACACTCTTTTGAAATAGACTATAGCTGAAACCAATCATGAGGATGATAGATTGGGATTTTTACCTTTTTTTTTCAATCATTGAGTGGTCAACATCACACTCCAAATGAGTGTAGCCTGGAACCAAAAATTTATGATTGATTATTTTGATGTGTGAAAAGACAGTCATGGCCTTCAAAAACATTGCAGCTACATGCGAATTTTTGTTTTGACCTCCGCAAGTGCCAGAATAAAAAATCACTTCTTCAATAGTAGAAGGAAGTTTGCCCAAATGATGAAACAAACATGAGGATGTTTCACTTGCTCCTCGTCCTGCTGTTGCCTCATGCCACATGTGGTTGTAAGACTGACCAGTTACATTGTCATGAATAGTAAGATTATTGTAGGTCCACAACTGTCTTTTGTAGAAAGCAACAGACGAATCAAAAGAAGGAGTGGGGAGGCATTGCTGCAGATCAAAACTAAAACATTGCTTTCTATTACCTACTTCACAAGCTTCTTTATCATTTGCTTTTGTCTTGTAAGCCAAATCTGCAGATTCCTGATGGTTTTTAATTTCATTTTCAATAATTGACGTTTCTTCAGTAGTAGCTATTTTCAATTTCATATTCAAGATGTCACACTTATGACATGTATCTACTTGAGGCTTCTTCAGATGAGGTGGTAAGTATTTGTTGGAGTTTGTGCGTCTTGTGTAGTGGCTTTCATGAGTTGGGAAAGAAAGGATGTGGCTCCTTATTTTCCTGAATCTTCTTCATTTTTTTGTGTTTTGGAGGATTTTTACCACGTCTGTCTTCTTGAGGGGTTCCTGTGACGGTCCGTTTTTTATTTTGTAGAACCATTTTCACAAACTTTTCATGTTCATCTAAAGTTTTCAAAAAACAGTTCTTNTCACAGAATGGTATACAATGTCATTTGGCACTGGGAAGTGTTGCCACACTTCGTGATTCGTGACGCCCGAGGAAGCCATTGTATGGCGAAACACGTGTTGCGTTTTTGTAAATCTATCTAGTGAAAATCACACAATAAAGTGTTTTTAGAATACGTTATTTGAATGTTGATTATTCAATATACAGGCTCAGCCAGGCTGTTAGTAACTTCGTTCTTATCAGAGTGATGAAATTGTTCAAATTGGCAAACTAGTAAATTTTTATGCTTATTGGGTGCAAGGATAAAGAAACAATTGACTAACCCATTTTTAACTGTTTGATCGAAAGACTTGTTATTCTAACAGAAAGCCCTGTGTGTGATATGTGCTTCTGGTGGTAGAGAATTATATTTCAATTATAAAATCATACGAACTTTTTTTTGGTTGTTAATTTCATTTGAAAATGGTGGATTGGAAACCCCCCCCTCCAGGATATGTTTTAGGCCAATCATTCTCTACAAAAATATTACTTTACTAAGGATTGGATTCTTTTATTTTTTTTACTTCTATCGCTAAATCGTCTACGTACTTGATTTGGTTTCAGATTTTGAACGAGATGAGTAGTCTTAAGAACTGATCGGTATAATTTCGATTAGAATTAACAAATTTTATCCCGTAATGTAAAACTGAGACGGTTTAGGCCAAGTTTTTATCTGGAAATCACAATATTTTATTTCTGCGAGGTGCAATGTGAGGAACGGTTGATACTAATAGAAACTGTAACATATCCAATACGATCTTAACTGTTTTGGATCTGAATGATTCGGAAACTATTTTGTAATACAGGCATTAGTGCCGTTTCTTTTCATTCTATTTGATTGGAAGTCAAAGATTTATATAAAAATGTATTTTGATAGACTAAATCCAGCAAAATGGTAACCAAACTGAAATTTAAAAATGGCACTACTTATATAGAAAAATATAATTGGTTTCAAATTGCTATACAATATATTACTCTGTTGTATTATGGAATAATATTATTGGAATTTGAAAGAAAATTATTTCTTCCAAGATCGGTTAAATTTTTAGACACCTTGGTTGATAACCATAGATTTTCCTTTGCAAAAGGTAAACATCCGTGTTAGGAATCACACGTTAAAAGGTAAGACTTCGTTAATCGTTAGCTCGCACAAGTTAAGTTTAGACTTCTGAGGGGTGTCGTTTTAAGGGATGCGATAGCTGGTTAACGGAAAAACAGATTTTAAACAGAACAGAACACACAGAAAAGGTAAACATTGTTTCATAAATATATCTGGGAAATTGATTGCCAGTTTTCAGTGAATTTTTGAGGAAGATTTTATTGTTGAATGTGAAACAAAATTATTACTCAAAACTAAATCTTATTAGCTGTAACTTAATATAATCACAGTATTTTTAACCGACATGGTGATCTGATCGGGACAGAGAGAAACCACACAACGGCATTTACAATCCAATTATACTTTCACATGTTACCCTGGTTGCTGAGAATTTGTGTTAATATTGTACAATATAAAATATACATTTTTTATTTATAGTGACGGTTATGTTTGAAACCAACACAATTTTGCTTGAGCTTTGCTTTTTCATGTTACATTTTCTTTGCATGCAAAATGTTAGAATTTAAGAAAACTTTCGAAAACACTGCTCAATCCACACTCACGATTTGATCAAACATGAATGAGCCTTTCTTCCTTTTGATTTGGAAAAAAAATGCTGTATTGATTTTGTGAATTCAAAACAAATTCAAAAGCTTCCAACAGACCATTATTCAGCGGAGCATTTCGGTGTGATCGAAAATTAAGCACAATGTGAGCTTGTGGATGGAGCATAAGTGTTGATAATTATTGCACGTACTTCCATTATATTTTTAGTAGCTTTAAGCGAATATGACCAGATCTTATTCGAATCAGAAAACGAGGTAAGTGTCTATAATAAATGGATTTTCTTGATAACTACCATGTTTTTTCCTATATTGTTTCTCTAGATTAAAAAATACAGTAGTAAAAAGTACAGTACAGGAGTAAAAAATACAGCTATTTTCAATTGTATCCTCTTTATTTTCACATATTTTTAAACTTATCAGTTCTGTTTGTATATTTAAGTATTCCCACCCTCTCAACTCAAATTTAGCATCAGCCATTGGCTTGGTAAATTTTTAAATTAATGTTTGTAACTCTTCACCGTTATTTATCGACATAAAACCTGTTCACGATTCTGGGATAAGTGACTTGGAGTATTTAGAAATCCAAAAGCAACTCTTGCATGTCAAATAACAATTATTTTACCCTGTTCGTTGTACAAAAAAAATTATATAAAATCTTAGTTACTTATTTCTTGTGAAATTGAAATGATGATAATGTATAAGTTTTGTGGAAGGTATGTTTATGAAAATTCATCGTTACGGATCCCTGAAGAAGAATTCAATTGAATTGGAAACGTTGGCAATTTTTTTTTTTTAAGAAAAAGTTAATCATGTTACCCCCAACCAACCTTCATAAAAAACTAAAGTTACTATATTTGATTCATGTATGTTTCTCCTTCATGTTATAGAATCGTATGGAGGAATCGAAGGCACTTTTCAAAACCATTATTACCTATCCTTGGTTCCAGCATTCATCTGTAATATTATTTTTGAACAAAAAGGATCTGCTAGAAGAAAAAATCATGTATTCACATCTGGTTGACTACTTTCCTGAATACGAAGGTGAGGAATTCATTATATTTGTGGAATTTAGTTTTAATTATTGAACATTACTACTACTTAATGATTATCTTATCTGTGTTCACACCTGAATATTTGTTGAAGATGATCATTTGTCAAGTAAATGATGTTTTGGAGTTTTCTTAATGTTGTTATTTGCCTAAATACATTTTGTTGAAAATAGTTCTTAAAGGAAATGATAACCATAAAGTATATGTATGTTAACTCATTATCATGTCCACTCTAATCCACTTGAAGTTGAATAGTTCTGTCAAGCTAATCGGCAATCATTTATGTTGGGAGGTTTTCGTACGATCATATTTCATTTACTTCAATCTGATAGAAAAACGTAACTTCAAAATACTTTCCCAAAATTGATAATTTTCTGTTTTGTTACCTAATTTGTGAATTCATTGAAATTAAATTTTTGATTCATGAACAAAAAGGAAAGAAACTGAATTACTTGTATTATGGTTCAATATTTCGATAGCAAATTTCAAAAAGTGTTTCAACTCAGAAGCTGCTGAGAGTTCTTGCTTATATCTACCATCTTGAGACACTACAAAAAAACCCTTGATGGAACCAAAATTTCTGAAATGTATATAACCTTCGTGTACATCCAACTCAAATCAGTGTTCAGATTGTATGTTTGTGTTGAATCTTTTGGCGCCGCTGGTACCAAAGAGGGGCTCTGCGTACCTGCTGCAGGAACAGTGTGGCTCATATTGGGACCGTGCACACTGAACGTGTTAGATATCAGATGTTCAGTTCTATATTAAATGTATGGAGGGTAGAAGTTAAGGAGAACTGTCTCTGTGTGTGAAAAAGTGTCCATTAAAATGTGCTAAATAAGGGTGGCTGCTCATTTGCAACAGGGTAAATTTACCACAGCAATAATTTGAAGTTATATTGACGAAATTAGTTTGGATTACATAAACTTGAGGTCTTGTATATTACACTTTCACAAACTACTCTAGTCATTAAATATATTGAAATTCCTAACTCAGCATACCCTGTGTCTATGCTAGCGCCATTCTGAAGGGTTTTTGAACTGTTATCAACTGCTGAAAGTTAGACACGTTTTCAAGCTTCCTCCCTTATGAGATGGTTTTCCTTACCTCTACCCTCCATAATTATATGTCAGGTGTCATCGTTGTCATTACATTTTCAATGTTTCCTTTCTCAGAGATTACAAAATATATATACTATTGGTAATTTTATTGGAATTGATTTGAGTCATCAATGAACATAGTACATGATGATTACTTTGTTAAAATTTTGATACTTGTTTCATAAATTTTCGAATAATTTCATTGTGATTTGATTGCATAAGGTGCCAAACAAGATCACATAGCTGCTAGAGAGTACATATGTAAACTGTACCTAAGAGAAAATCCGGATCCTGACAGAAGTTGCTATTCACATTTCACAACAGCAACAGGTTGAGTCATAGTAGTAATTCAAGCTAGTGAAAACAGGCCATTTAACAAACATGTTTTTTTGCAGAGGTGTATATGAAAGTTGATGAATTATGTCAATTTCTAGGTGATTGAACTGTTCTTCAATTCTTAGAGGAAAAGTTTAATATATTTTGCACCTTTTCTCCTTGGAAAATTATTAGATTTATTCCCTACAAAAACAACCCTGAAATGTAGAATTTTTATCATTATTATCACAAAATTTTGACGTTTATATAGAAAAGATCAATATTACTACTGTATTAAGTGAATAATAGCTTTTTTCATTATATTAGTTATGTGATTTTTCTGGGGCGTTATCAACAAAGTACTTCATACGAGTAGTAAATGTAGTTTGATTCAGAATATTATATTCAAGGTGGTCCAATGAAAACGAAATGAGGCTGATTTTCCATAGTTTGTGCTTGAAAAAAAATTCATGTGTTCACATATTATTATAAGTTATTTTCATCCTTGTGTCATTTTTCATCAACTTTTAACTAAAATTATTTTAATGCCAGTGTTTTCCTGTACTTCCAAACGGCAAAGGAGCTTTAGTTTAAAGCAGTTCAAGCCTATTTGTAAATGACTGATGATGTTTTTATTCTCTATAGTGAATTTTTTCTGTTTACTAATTATCTGAAGACACTGAATTGTTACAATATGATTTATCTAACTTTGTATGCTGGTGTGATATAAACAAATTGCAATTGAATAGAGACAAATGCCATGAATTTACTTTTTTCCATAACAAAAACCATAAAGCGTTCATATAAAATCAAGCAATTAGAACTGGAAACAAATACAAAGATTTAGAAATTACTCTTGGCCCAAAAATGTCATTCAAACTCCAAATTGCTAGTGTTCCTCCAGAGCCCAAAAAATTTTGGACTTCACTCTTTATCTTTCTCTTTCTTTAAAATCATACATTGTTCAATTGTTATTATTGAATACAACTCCACAATTTGGTGCCCCTCATATAATGGGGATTTTGATATGCTTGAAAGTGTTCAAAACCAGTTTTAAAAAGGTGCTCTGCATATAAACCGGGATATCATATTGTTAAATATAACTATAAAACTACATTGGATATTCTTAACTTGAATACTGTGGCTGATAGAAGATTAGAATCATATCTTACGCTAATTCACAAAATAATCAATGGTAGCATTCATTCTCCAGAAGTTGGTGAACTTATAACTTTAAATGTGAATCCATAAAGAAAAAAAAAACTACACTACGGCCAGAATGAGTATAGATAGAATTTTGAGAATTAAAAGTTCTCACTGCTTTATATTTCTTTGAAATCTATTAGGTTTGTTTCAAAACTTCTGTCCCTGCAAACACATACAATGTATCTTTAAAACTTTTCAATTCTTCTTTGGGTTCATTCAAAAAGACAAAAGATTGTAATTGATTGGCTCATTTCTGCCTTTTTTTATATTTTTTCCTTTCATCCATCAGATAGTTATAGATTATTGTTACATAACATATGTATAGTTTTCTGACATTCAGCAATAATGCGTTGAGTTTTATAAATTTTCCTCTTTGAGTGTCCACACAAGAAAATATGACATTCTTGATTTGTGTGACCTTGTGGATCACTTCACTAATACTGTTCAACCAATCAATCCACCAGGAAAGGTTCCGCTCATATACTGACGAAAAGCAAAGGTATGATTAGGAGGTGGCTCATCTTGTTGAAATGTCAACTCGTTCTCTCTTTACTATGTAAAGAATGTCTGTTAGTGTGGGATTTGACATTGTATTATAACAACTGCAAGTAGATTTTTTCCTAGAACATATCCTGGTAGAAAAAATGAATCAACAATACAATCGCCATAAATTCCAACTCACACATTTCGCTTGTCATGATACTTGTGAACTTTATGAACAGAGTTAAAATTTTCTTCGGATCAATACTGACAGTTATTATGATCAACATTTCCATTCAGAAAAAACTAACACAAACAACAGCTACAACCTTTCACTAAATAACTTGCAAAAGTCAATATTGACATAGACCAAAACGACAAATTCTGCAACTCCATTACCTACAATTTCATTTGGAGAGTTTCTTATTTGCCACCACTCCTGTTTTCCTACATTTGGTTACAAGTTCAGTAACATTTTTTATTTAACATGTTTATCAGGAACAACTGTGCTATAATATCAGTGCACTTACTATTATCATTAAGCTCAGTTATTGATAAGCTTGCTAATGAATAAACCATTGAGTAAAATAAGAAGCCGAAGTAGTTATGATCGAAATACTATGAAATAGTAATTATAAATGAATGGAATGCAAATTAATTACAACTTTCTCTTTCAACATAACATAGCAACAACAAGCAAATTGTAAGTGAGAAAAAAAGAAAATTAATTTGAAGTAGGAAGTGTTGAAAGGAGAAATCAATGATCTGATATGCCTGACCACTAATACTTTTTAAGATCTAAGGATGAAGAGGTGTAAATGATGAGGTTGAAAATCTGCTGAAAAAACTCGTCCGCAAAATTAAAAATAACGAGTCGGAGTGATTTAAATGCCAATTGTGGGATATAAGTTTCAATTCGTCTTACTGGCCCACTCTGAATGAATAAATTTTAAAAAACTTGTTTTTATTTACAAATCAGAAATGTAGTCAATTTTCAGGTTCATTGTAATAGTAAATGCTTATATATTACCTTTTATATACATTTCTGCCAAAAGTACTAATGTTTAGATTTCAACTAGTTCATCACTGCCACTATTACTTCAATTATTGATTGGCATTATATTCAATTCAATACATTTCTCAAAAGCTAACTCAATAAGAGGTAGTTCCAACTAATATGAATTCATATGATGAACTGAAGACATGTTTGAAGGATGTAAATAAGGCCTAAGAAAAATTGTAAAAAACAGTTGTGTTGTAACCTTGCAGTTTTTTTCCATTTCTTGGGAAGGGCCTGACTTGCTCATCTCTTCCAAATCTCCAGTGAACACTACGGCCTCATGGGCCTATTCAAGTTTACCCCCCATCTTCTAATTGTTTCTCCTGTGCTAGTTTATATGGATCCATTGCTGAATGTTCGTCATATTATTCTGAATATAATTTGGGTTGTACATTGTTGTATAGCTCTATTTTGTTCAGTTGCCCTCTCAATAGACAATGTCCAATAAGTAGCTCTGTAGTTCTTCCGTGTGAGCCATAATTAAACCCTTGCAGGTTGCGGTGGAGGGTCAAATAGACCCACTCACTTCTAACCTAACCTAGTCAGATTCGGCGCTACCTTCGCCTTTCTTTTTACTTTTTTCAGATATTAGGTCCAGGTCAGCCTGGTATCTAGTATCAGTCCCAAATATTTGACCTCCCCAACATTGTAATTTACCTCTGGTGATCTCTGTGAGATAATACCATTCAAGCTCAAGCTTCTGAAAGATATTTTTTCAAAAAACTGCACCTCACGATTTGATCTCCACAAACTCTATTTGAAAAATATATCACATATTTCGCTAGCACAGTAGCTTTGTCAAGTGATTTGAATGACTTGACAAATCACTTCTCAAAGCTACTGTGCTAGCGAAACATGTGATATATTTTTCAAATAAAGTTTGTGGAGATCAAATCGTGTGGTGTAGTTTTTTGAAATTACTATGAATCTTCATCAAGTAACGGCCGAATCAATCAGAAAAAAAATTCTGAAAGATATTCTGAGGATTTATTTTCAAAGAGCATAACATTTGGTAATAACCGCAGATGTGTCAGTGTGTGCTATCACCATTCAAAGTGATTTCCTTATAAATCATGGAAAATATGAGAATTAAAAAAAGCAATTTGTGAAATTAGAATTGATCAGAATTGATTTGGTAACTCCACAATTATTCGAATATGCTGCTTTTGATGTACTATGAGCTATATTTTGCTATGCTAAAATATTGCTAGACATTTGTAATATTGCCGTTTCCAGCAAAATAGGCAAAATATTGATTTTTCTACAATTGAAAAAATATTGAGTGAAATGTGAATTCACATATGATGTAATGTAGTGCTAATTTCCTGAAATATTTCCTTTAGGTCCTCAACGAGATGCGATCGCAGCTAGAGAATTTATCTTGAGAATGTTTGTAGACCTGAATCCTGATAGTGAAAAAATTATATACTCCCACTTTACATGCGCCACAGGTATTGCTAGTATTGGTTATTTGAAATCGTTCCAAAATATGAACACAAAATTGATGAGTAACATTTTGTTTTCAAATTTTGGAGCAATAATTTCATGAGCTTTTTGTAGTGGAAAAGGTTTTAGTTGAATAACATTATCACAATTCTTCAACTTTTTCTGATTTTTTTGCATGCTCCGATGGAATGGATTTTTTTGCCTTATTCTTTAGACACTGAAAACATTAAACTCGTGTTCTGTGCTGTCAAAGATACAATCATGCAAACTGCGCTAAAAGAGTTCAATTTAGCCTAGTTTGAAGGTAATGGTAATATTTTTTGATGATGATATCATTTTCATTTCTTTCATCTACATAAACAGTGAAAATTTGTGGAATCATAGACAGGAACATCACTTCAAATGTTTGGTTTGTTTGTTTTAATTTTTCATTGATTCTGTCAGTTTAACATTTTATTTTATTGCATTCTCATACAAGACAGTTGGGAGTTGTATCCATCATAAAATACTTGTCAATGTTTCATTGTATGAAAATTGTTTCATCAATCAGATGTAAGGCATGAAATCACATCATCTCCATAACATAACGAACCAACCTGACATCCTTCCATTTTTTAAATTGTAGTTATGGTGAAATACAAAAACTCAAAAAAGTAACATTTGAAAAAAAATATTGTACTTATCAAAGATATCTTGATTTTTCTCACATATGTTTCACTAGCATTTGTGTAATGTTAATAGACAATTAATATAAAATGTTTTAAAGAAACAACTCAACAACAATTTAATGTTTTGATCTTATGTAACCAATGGGGAATAGAGAGTAAATTCACAATAGGACATTGTTGTAAAGACTAAAAATTTTTGTCTTACCTCAAGACGAAGGCAAATGGTCATAAAACATTTTTGAGTTTTTATCAATTGAATCGTCATAAATAAATATCTGACTCTCTAGAATGATTCTAAATGAAACTTGAAAACCAAAAAACCTCAAATAGATTATATCATGAAATAAATCATGAACTTTTTGCATTGATTTTAATTCTATCTGACGAATAACGCAATATAAAATTTCACTTGTGTTTATTTGAAATTACTTGATTAATTTTAAAAAAAGGTTTACTGACTGAACTAAAAAGATCCCAATAATAGCAATATGTACAATTTGATGGTTTTAGGTTAGCTATAGTTAATTAAGACTTCATTAATCCTTGAGTTTTTCTTTTTGAGGATTGTCATTATTATGAGGACGCCAGCTCATCAATAGATAAACCCATTTCGAACCTTTTAAATTGTATGGTTTCATTTTCAGTTGCAGACATGTAAATAAAGTCACAGAATTTTCTACCATCTTGTAGTGAGGCACATGAAACTCTTTTTAGAAGTAAAGATTCAACACTTGTAGAGAATGGTTGATTTCCAATTTGAAATTGTCCTGAATGCATCAATTGTACTTTCCGATGCTGCCAGATTCCATCTCTAAAAAGCCATCTGAATTGGAGTCCTGAATACTTTTATGGGAACCATTCAACTGTTTTAGACCACTTGAGTTGTGGATCATCGAAACTTTTTGCAGATTGTTTCAATATATACCAAGACTTCCAAGCTTAAGTTCTTTTTGAGTCAAAATTTTGAATTTTTCAGGAGAGCAACAGCAAAGTCCAAAACATTATGTAAAATCTAATTATTGATATTATTTGTAACTGTTATTTTTGTAAAACAATATAGTAGTAAGTCTATCTGAAGCATACATTTATTTCTTGTCTGATGATTGACTGACTGCACACCGCTTCACTGCACGGGGCTCGAAAGGGTTTTTGACTGCACACCTCTTCATAAAGTACTTTGGCTTTAGTTGTGTCTATGTTACACAGTTAAGGTCACTAAAATTTCAATCGCAATGATAGTTTACTTTTATAAGAAAAAATTAAGAATACTGAATCACGACTAACATGCTTCGATTTGTCTTACCATACTTCAGTCGTCACTCAACGATTAGGTTTTTAGTTTCATGATATGCGTATATACAAATACAAAAAGCGTGGCTTTCTGAAAGTAGTCAGTAAGTTTTTGCTAATTTTTTAGGATTCAGGAAGCTGGTATGAAAGTAGCATCCAGCATACAAGGTCATTTTGAGAACCATGTTTTATCAAACTGATTTATTGATATCAAAAATGAATAACTGACAGCCGTTTCAACAATTTCTTTCCATTAGGTTAGGTTTAACGTGAGTGGGTCTATTCGATTCTCCATCGCAACCCGCAAGGGTTTATTGTGGCTCACACCTATTCACACTCGGTCAAATAAACCCAGCTTCTTAACGAAGCCGATTAGTTTATATGGTGAGTGGTCTTTCAGGTCAGATGGTAAGAGTACGGCTCTGCCGAACTCAAAGAACCTGATTCGGTTCCCAGCGGGGAACCCCCAGATTCCACCGTTGGGTTGGAATCTGGGGATTTTCAAGGTCGGCGATTATGATTTTTTTTAAAACAAAAATGACGATGGAGACGAAATAAATGGAAAAAATGTTATTTGTAGTTGTCAATAACAAGAGAAATAAAAAGTTAAAAATAAAAATTATAAAAAACATTTTCAAACAAAAGCTTTTATACAAACACACTAAAAAAAAATAATCATTTATTGTTTGATCTAGGTTATTCTGTGAGTTTTTCATTTTAAACTATATACTCAATTTTTCGTTTAAAATCTAGGTGCAAGGGGTCTGAGTCTCGTATTCACTTGCCTTGCATCAAACCGCTGCGCTATCGAGACTGACAATAAGAGATTGCGAAATTATTGACATATCGTATTGATGTAGGTCTAGTGACATCTGACTCATTTTCTAAATATAGGTATTTACTTTTTGAAAATACTTCACCTTCCACTGATTTCTATCATTTTGCAAAATACTGGGTGTTCTTTAAATGAACAGTAAAATTCATACTTGTATAATCGAATATAAGTAGTTTAGGTTGTCAATGTCAACAAGTTATTTTAATGATGACGTAACGTACGTCACTTTTACTTTAGGGAGGAAAAGTACGACTTTGCTTCCTAAAATCAGGTCAGAAAATATATACTTTCGATAGAGGTAGGCGGAAAACATATTCATTGTCTATTTCTCAGTAAATTTTCTTCCTAATAAAAGTGTGTGTATTACTTGAAACCCATCCTTGCATTTTACTTTTCCAAAAATTTTCGTCCCTTTCAATTTCCGTAATTTTGATTCCTTCGAAAGTCTAAATTCCGAAAATACACTTTTTATATCCAGTTACATGCAACTGGCCTTGTATTTGATAATACCATTTGTGACTCGTATTGACAGCTCCAGTTTTCTTTCTCCTAAACGTTATCTTTCCATTTTTGATTCCTTCTTGAGGAGTAATCGATTTCGCCGAATATGGACATTTCACCTCTATAATGGCAATACCGTCTTGCAAGACTGTATCTGGTGAAGCACCAATATATTGTTGATCTTTATCGACGTAAAGACCACATGTTAGTATTTTTTGCTTTACGTCTATTTCCAATGCCGCAAGGGCCCTTTTTTCGTATTGCTTTCCATGCATTATTGCTGGCGTAGATAAGTACTTGGGATAAATTATTTGTTCTACTAATTGTTTCCTGGATGTTTTCGGCAGTATTTTGCAGACATCTCCAAAATTTGATGCCGTTATTCTTTTTTGTCATGCCATAATTTGCATCCACTTTGGGTTTTAGAAAGGATTTCTATTTTTTCAGCTCTTCAACGGTTTTTTTTGAAATTTTCAGCGATGTAATTCTCTTTACATCATTTAACCACTTCATCATCTGAATCTGGTTTTTTGCAACATTCACCGTAGGTAATCTTTGTTGTTACTTTTTTGTCAGGCCCTCTTTTTAACGCAAATTTTGCGACGACGTGTGTATCTCTCCTCAATTTATTTTGTAAGTGCAGGCATTCTACCTGTTAGCGACTGCGATAAAATGGACACAAAATGTTTTGTATTCCATTCCACAGCAGAAGCTCGAAAGGATCGTCTTGAACACCTATGTGTTTACAATTGTTGGAATTAAATTGTTCAACAGTATTCGTTTCGACATTATATAATAAACTTTTGGAATGCGTAGCAAGATATTCAACTGGGACCATCATTATTTCGTATAAAGCTCACCTTTCACTCACCTGTAAGCTTCATATCAGTTATTATTGAGTTTGCATTCGACTTTTCTTTGCAGAAGTATGATGAACAATTTCAATGTTCTCCTAAAATATAACTGGGCCCATTCAATATATCTGTAGTGTTGTATTCTGCATAAGGGTCGCGTTCCAATAACTTTTGATAATAGGAGCTGTCTCCATCCGCAATTATCATTTTGAAAATTACTCCGTGCTTTTCCAAACTTTGTTGAAATGCTGCTGCAATTACATCCGATTCCATCGCACTTGAAGAGAACATCCAATTTTTGAAACAGCGATGGGGCTTTGGCTGACTTCCTTTATTTTCATGTTTTTTACACACAACGCAATATTTATTTCTAACACCATGCTACCCACGCTAATGACTTTATTATTTTTTGCACCAATCACCACACCACAACCAGACAATGACGTATAATTCCTTATATACGACCTTTTGACCCAAAATCCATCGCATTTTACGGTAATAAATGGGATTCCGTTAATAATATTTCCAGACTCAATAGCATTTTTTTTTCTTCTTCTATTGCTTCATCTATTACTTTTTGAAAATCTAAACCGAAATAAAACAGCAATAATCCAATCGCAAACCTAGAAACGTATTTTAAGTACCACCACCGTCGAGTTGCTTCTGTTCCGATATTGTGTTTATGCGCATATCTCGGCTACTTGCAAGCTCCACCTTTTCCCTTTCTAACGCCTGACCCTTGCACCCCTCAGAAACTGTTCGTGAAGGACCTGACCGTGTTAAATTAGATGAGGTGTTTATTTGAGTAGGTGTAGATTCTACTTTTGAATATTACTGATGGGTTTTCAAAAATATTAAACATAAAATTACTTATTTGAGTTGTTACTTAATATCACAATAGGTACTTAATATTTATGTAATAAACAAAGTATGTCACGACATGATTAGGCACGTGGAAACGCAAAATGTCTTCGTCGTTTGTATGGAATTCAACGCGCCGAACATGACCGATCACAGCGCGGGATTTCCCGAATGCAGTTTCGGTCGGAGTTTCGGCAGGTTTGCACCGAAACCCGTTTTTTTGCCGAAACTCGATCGAAACCGAACTTTCGGTCGGACACTAGTAGATTTTATTGAATAAGGCAACTACTTCTTCGACTAATACCATGCTGCGGACTAACCATAAATATCTGTCTGATTTACCAAAACCCACTGTGTAGGTAAGTTAGCAGAGATCAATATTATGAAATATTTTCTCATAAGTATGTATCTCTCCTCGGTAGTCATCAGACTTGTTTTGATTTCTGTAAAAAGTATTGGTGCATAGGATGTTTCTTCCCCGCATGGAGCTTTGTTCACGTGATGAAGCTGTTACTAGGCAATCTTGCTCTTAGACGAAGGTTTCATACATGCAGTCAAGTCGCGTTGAAATATATCGAGTCCCAGGCACACTGCTGTTAGGATCGGATCTTTTCTGCACTGATGAGAGGTAATACCTCGAAATCGACATGTGGGTAATCCACTCGATTGATTTCAGCATTGTCTTGCTTTCCACCAAAATTTCATAATTTTTCCACTCATAACTTTTTCATCTTATGTCTGTCTAGTACCACTGATGATATCTATGGCAAGTCGAAACAAAAAGTGATTTTTCATTCAGCGCTCGATACCAGACCTCATGTTTCACTGGACAAAACTTTTTCAGTGAACAATATTTTTATTAACATAGAATTTCAGAATATATAAATATATTTGTAAACTGATATTATACAAAATATGTATGTACATAAATGAATAACATAAATAAATTATAACTTAAAATAAGTTTCTGCAAATAGGACACGAACTTTTGTAACTGGTTCTGAACCATTTGTACTGAAAAAAAAGTATTGAAATAATCATAACTTCGAACATTTCATTTTGCTTACCAAACAAGCTGAATGGAACTTTTTCTTGCAAGTTTGACATGATAATTTAGGCAATTGGTAAGTTCCCGGATGCAAAACAGAAAAGCAGATATAGCATTCCTCCACACCATCGAATTTTCTGTCCAAGTTGTTATTCCACAAAGATAAGCCATCCCATATTCTACCATTCTGAAAAAAAGTTTGGTTTAAGATCCTCTTTCAATTTTTTTTCAATTCATTTCAATTTCAAGTAATTCTAAGAAAGAACTCACTTGATGTACCACACATTTTTTCAACTGGAGAAGCCATTGTTTATGACCCGTACCAGCAATCTGTTTATTGCATTGAACATCCAGACCACCTAAAGGATAGTTCGGTGGTAATACAATGAGCAGTTCCACTTGGGCTTCGTCAACTGTATAGATGGCAATCACCTCTCTAGCACCTGGCATCACTTTCAGCTGTACCACAATAATTATTTTGTTAAAAGCACTTCACATTGTACGAGGATGTTTTGAAATTTGTTATTTAGACCTGTAAGGCCTTTTATAATTATGAAGAGTATCTCCGCAGTAACATTGACATCGACTGACGTATTTGTATTAGATACAAATTATTTTAACATGTAAACTTTGTTTATTTTATTTATGTTCATCTTGACTTGTGTAAAACTTTTTGAATTTTACTTTGTAATTCTGGTTTGACTTTTCACTGACACTTCTAATAAGTTATTCTTCATTGATATGGTATACCAATAATTGTCTAACCACAGAGCTGGTCTAGCTAACTAGATATCAATACATCCTCGTATTTTACTAAAAAGTAATAATAGTACTTACCACCATATTCTTAAATTTGCTCTGATGTGTTATCAAGTCGTTGAATTCTTGTGCAACTAAATGTGGAGAAACATATATCTGAGTCACTTTTTCAACTACTTGGGCCAATTTGCTATCCAAACTGGTCCACCACTGACGCACTAGGGCTGGAAGTTGAACCAAAGTGGAGGAGTACAACCAGCATACGAGGTGTTCAATTTTCTCACTACCAAAAGTATCTGCAATGTAGTGTTATTTCATTTTGGAACTAAATGCAACAAATTGTCATACCATTCATTCCCATGTGTGGTTTTTTAAAAAACGACTCTATCAAAGGTTTCGCTTTTCTCTCATTATAGTGCAAAATCTCTGTAGGCATCAAATGGAAGAGATTATTCAGGAGATTTTGAAACAAATCTTCATTCCTGAAATTATTTTGACTCGTTACACTCTTTTTATTTGAAAGATCATCAATAAATTACCTCAACCAATCAGCATACTGAAACCGCAGTTCTGTTGAAGATTGGTTGCATAAGGATAACAAAACATCCCAGATCAACAGATATCCAAAAGTATAGGTAAATGAATCAGTGGATGGTTCAACTCTACAGCTGTCTTCTCCTAACCTGAAAAGAATCATTCGATTTATATGAATAGATTAAAATGTAAGTTGGCTAGCTTGTAAAGTTTTTTTATTAAACTTCAGAATTATTTCAGAAAGATGAAATCTGTTTAGACCTGTTCATTTTACTCAATGGTCAAATTTTCCCCTTATACATAAAGAATCTGTAATGCCAAATCCATAAAAAATGAATTGGCTAAACTCTAGGTTCAATTACTCAAATCAAAGTTAATGTCACAGATGTGAATAATACAAAATCCACCGTCAAATTAGGAATTGTAGACACATTTGGTTTACAACTTCTCTAGAAACTTTTAGAAAAATCAAGAGTAAATTGTGAGATTACCTAAAAAAACAACTTGAACACAAAATTAGATTGTAACAAAATATATCAACTTTCGAGAGGCGACTTATGAAATATATTTATACTACGAATTATGAAACACAGATAAAAATTAGCATGTCTTGTCCAATACATTAGATTGATCGTCTATGAATGATTTCAAAATATCCCAACAATAGAAAACTTCATATATTTAGGAAAAAAGGGCACATCTATTTGTAGAGGTTCAAATTTGTTGATCTATTTTTCATTATAAAAGTTCCATCAAAGATTTAACTTTCACAAAATTCCTTCATTTGCAAATGACTTACTGCTTTTTATCAGGTGGTATCTCTTAAGAAGGTATAATTAGTAATTTGATCTGTGTATTCTTATAAATGACTTGTCACAAAGCACATCTGAATTATGTTCTTTTATAATCAGAAACAGGCAGAAAATCCCACATCAGATCTCTCAAAACTCTTCAGAACAAAGTAATGACATGTTTTTTTGATTTAGATAATCAGGTACCACCAACTAATTATAAATGTAGAGAATTGCTAGATTTCCTCTTTCAAATATTAACTCTTATTCATTCATTCCTTTATAAATTTATTTGTTACAATCACCTGCTATAACAGTTCAAAAAACAGCCATAAAAACAAAAAGCAGTTATTAAAGTTCAAATATCTTAAATCAACATTGCTTTTTTTTGTTGCCATTTTCACCATTTATTGCACTTTGAATACTTTTTTAATAAATATTCCATGTGATTCCAGTTGAAAAAATTCATATTTGGAATACCTGTTATTTCTTGAAAATGAGAAATATTTTCAATATCATTATTACTTACTTGAATCCCATGAGCATACTATTTACGATTTCGTGGGTTTCAGCCAATTTTTCCTTGAACTGTTCAAAAATAAGTCCTTTTTTGTGGGGAGTGTTCATATTGACAGCTTCTGTGTCAATTTTAATTAACCCAGGTACCAAAATAAGTAGCATTCTGTAACCCCACACCTGCAAATTAGGTTGTCGGTTGACGAGCAGGCTACAGCTTCGTTTCAAAAATTTCGTCCATTTGGGTAAAGATGTGTCATTTATTTTGAATAAGAAATCACAGTTTATAGCATTCAGTAATTTACCGAATTCTTGGATGAGAGGGAGGTAGATGATTGTATCTTGTTTTTGCTCCAGTTGTTCTGAAAAATAATAATAATAATAACTTTATTCACAACACAGATTAGAGTACAATTAAAACAAAATATGTGAACAAAGTGGTTTGGCGATAAGAGCAGAGCTCTTGTTTCACAAGAAGTTTGAAGTTTAAAAAATAGTTTGAAGTTAAGATTTTCTCTAGGTAATTTTCTAAATCGTAGTCCAAAGATGCATAAACTTGTTGTGTACCTGCTAGATATAACCAAATCTGTGCTAAATCACCATGTACACTTTCAACTAAAACATCCTCCCATTCATCAATGTAGCTGATCCTTATTGACTGCTCCTTCATTTTTTTCACCTGACTGTCTATGTTAACATACAATTTTACCACTGCAACTAAAAGTGCCTGGAACTATGTAAACAATTTCAAATGAGAATCAAAAAAATTTTTTTGCCTACCTCATGCTTTCCGTGAACAGCTCTTGCTTTAAGACAATTTGAGGCCCATGAAACAAGGGACAAAACTGAAAAGTCCCAATCCCTTTGTCGGAGACTGCTGAATTTGAGTTTCATCAAAGACGAACACAGTCTTATAATTTCTAGAATCTGCTGAGACTTCTCCCAACTGATGTTGTCCTTTGAGTAGCTGCAGCGTAATGATTATGGTTAGGGGGTAATGGAAACTGAGTTACAAAATTCTGTAAACTTCGTTAATACTTCTCTGGTTATTCCCAGAAGAGCCAAAGTTTAGAAGCATTGAATCTATTCCAAAGCTGAACAATAATAACATAGCTACAAATTTTTGACCAATAAATATTTTACCTCCATTATAAAAAGTTGCAGAAGTCACAACATATAATCTAAATATGAATGAGGTATCAATCTGCCTTTCACCATGAACATTACTCCAAAACTGCTCTTTGAATGACAAATAGGGAATGGAAATTAATTGTATATGAGGTGGTTTCAAAATAATTTCTCGAATAGAGAATGAAAAATAGTGGTAAAACACTTTTTTCTAAGGAAATATCAGTAACCTCAGAAGTACCACATGGTAGCGTACATGGACCATTACTCTTCATATGATGCATCAATGATATCAATATATTAAATTGACAAGTACAAATGGAACCCTTCTCATTAAATTAATCTAATGAAAACACTTTCCTCTTACTAGTAACAAAGCCCATCAATAAACATAAGGATGCCATAGAAATATTAAAAAACCATTACGAAAATCAGTATTAAGCATGCAGATAGCATATGAACATTGAGTCAAATAATCTTTCATCTTTCAAAACAAATAGCTTGACAATCGAAGTAAACTATATCAAACTATTGAAACTGAAACTATATATTTGGAAAAGAAAGATTTTGGCTTCCTACTTCTTCATCTTGATACAAAAAAATGAGGGAATCTTCCAAAGAAAGGATGGAAGCAATCACTTTCAAAAATTAACAATATAAAGATGTGTAGATTATGCAAAGAAGTAACTGGCAGACACAAACTGGAAGAAAAAGCCCTTTTGAAACAGCTATTTTCATATAAACATTGAATTACATGAAAGAAAATACCTTTGAAACAAATACTTTTATATGGAAGCTGAATTATACAACAAACACTTTTCTCTATTCCGTTTGTATTCCAAACATTCATAATGGAATCGAATCAGATATCATTCACAGGATTCCTACATGAAAGAAGTAAAATTTTACTTGCATTTAGTTGTGGAAATTGTAGAACCTTCAATCATAACATTTGAAGAAGATTTATCTGAAACACCATAAATTTTGCTTATACCTAATATTTTCTTAAACAAGCATACCTATTTATTATTAAGTGAATATTTCAAATTGAAATGTTATAACAATATTAATTGTATATGAAGAAATTAACCTAGTTTTCAGTCTTATCAAGTATTTCTGATTAAATGCCCGAACGCTCGCTGACCCAACATCTCAAAATCTTTTGTTTGCGACCCTATTATACAAAAATCTTGCGATGATGACCAGTTTTAGTCATCTCCTGATGATGCTAACTTGATTAGCGAAACGCACGTCAAGAGATAGCATTTTTGTTCTTGTAAGGAAAAAGTGTTTTCAATAGATTCATTTTACACTAAAGGTTCCAAATTCTACTTAACAACTGTGGCATATCTTTTGACCCACCCTTGAATTTTGAGATTACTACTTACTTATCACATAAAAACTGGGGAACATTATCTGCCCTAATCCTCTCGATTTTCAAAACAACTTCGGCTACCTGCACATCAATTTCATCGCAATGCAAGAGACTGTTCAACACGATGACGTCACCTACAACATCGAAGTTATTCTGAATGTAGTCATAATTCAAATGATGACTGAAGATTTGAGTCAAATGAAGGACCCCCAAATTTTTTGTTTCAGTTACGATCTGTACACAGTCAGCATAGATATCATTTAAGGGTTGTTCAAATATTTTTGTGTACATGATATAAACTGCTCTGCACCAAAACCAAGCGAGGCTCATAGCTCTGTCTCTAAGAATTTTTTTCAATTCCAACTTGAAAGTATCATCCATGCGTTCAACTATCCACTTAAGCTTGGTCTCAGTCTGTACATAGTAACGTGAAACCAGGTCATGACATTTAGTCTGAAAATAAAAGTGTCACTAAAAAAGCTTCATTAGAAAATACTGCTTACATTTTTGAAAATATCTAAATACGACTGACTGACACTCAAATCATGTAAAATTTGAGCCACGTACTCTGCATTCTTATCGATTACATTGAGAACAATGGCCTTCCCCATCTGGCATTCCTCATTTTCATCCTCATCTTCGTATTCATCGATGACTTCTTCCAGAGTTGAAGCACTTACTTCAGATTTTAAATACATCCAAGCAAAATATTTGGCTACGTTCATTTCTTGAATTTCATCAGATGGATCACAAATAATTTGCTCATAAGGACTACTTAATTTTCCACATACATACTCTGCCATCTTACAGATGTTATTAACCCAAGATTTCCAGGGATCCAAAAAATTTCTGTCTAAGAAAACCATCATGAAATCTGACAATGAAAGCGGAGCGCTTCGGTAAATAGCTCTCAAGGTGTTAACAATAACACTCACAAGATGATCCAGATGGCTACTTTCTGGACTATCAGCCAAAAATTTCTTTTCAATTATGTCTGCAAGGTCTGAGGTGAGATCGATGCTATCTTGATGGTTGAGGATTTTTACTAGCAATGAGGTAGCATCTTGCCAAGCACTATTCACCTCGTACATAGTTTCGGTAGAAATGATCTCATTATCAATGGCAAAAGTGCAGGAAAGTCGAAAGAGAGCCAGTAGTAATGTATCGGTGTAAGTGAGAAGTAGGTTCTCTGTGTAAACAATTGCTGAAATGTACGCAGCAAGACTTACACAAGTGTCCGCCGTTATTGGGTAAGTAGTATAATTGTCAATGACAGCAACAAGTTTACTTATGATTTGTGAAACAGCTTCTTCTTCGATAAACAATTCTGAAACACAAAATTAACTTCATTTCTTACTCAGATGAAAGTTTGGCAAAGTCAACAACAATAATAAAAATAATTTGAGGTTAAAATGTCTACATATAAGTGGTACTGGATGGATCTTGTAAAGTAACCAGGAGTTCGGATCCCCTTCTCTTCATGGTCAGTAACCATGAGAGAGCAGGAATTAGAGCATTTGTTTTTAAGGCAGCTGCCCGAGGGGTTGATGAACTGGGTTCGGTTTTTGACACTGAACGATATAATTCTTGATATAACAGTCTATAATGTTTCATTCACCAATGACTCGGTTAATCATCAAGATGAATAAACCTCTGAAGAAGCCAGTCACTCGTGCTGGCGAAACGTTAGGATGCAGTTCCAAACTACCACGGCGTTCAAACCCGAATGGAGATATTAACACTGAAAATCACGGCCACGAAAGCCTTAACAGATTCATCAATTATTGTCTTTCATTTTGAATAAGGAATATCACGAACATATTAGGTACCTACCTCCTTTTTCGTTCTCTGTCAAAGCCAACTTCAATATGACACTCAGTTCAGGAGAACATTCATCTCTAATTTCTTTGTCAACAATCGACACTATAAAATCACGTACTTTTTCATTTCTGAACCAGGAAATTACTAAGGGATCTTCGTTATGTGGGTAAGCAAGTGCTTCAGAGATACACCAGGTCAAACATTCTTCATTGACCACCTGCAAAGTAGAAGACGTAACCAGTGGATAGAATTTTTTAGAAATGATATTACCTCTGACAGTGTGGTCAACATCATCTTCTTTTCATTGCTGCTGACATATTTCATCAGCAAAAATATCAAGCTCACTACATGTTTGCTAGATAAGTTTTTCGACTGTAACCATTTGATCAGCAAGTTATTATAGATATCTATCATCTCAAAACCTAGATCTTTTTTCTTCTTTTTTTCACTGAGATTCAAGAAGAAATTTTGAGCATCAAAGTCCACTATGAGAGAATACAGATGTTGAAAGAGCATTTTACATTGTTTCTCTTCAATATATTCAACATAATCTTCACAAATTCTGTAAACCAACTGGTTCAATTGTTGAAAGTAGTGTTTGTCTGACTCAACAATCGAAGGTTGATGATTGCTTGCAAATTCTGTACCGCCGGTGTCGTCACTGCAGAAAGTAACTTTGAAATGTTTTTTTGGCTTGCTAAAATGTTTTAGAGACTGCAAAAACTCCACCTGTTTGTTGGAAATTACTTCGGCATCATAATTTGGACATTCTTTTAGATTGAAAAGTATATCTTTGAAGAGATCTCGAAGATTTTCAAAGAAAAACTGGAGGTACGAATTGAGTGCTTCGGAACCAGAATTTCGACTCCAATTCTGCAGTAATGATGCTACTTGATTGAAAATCGTTTTATAACTTGTCTGATCCTCTAATAAACACCATTCAATGTGGGTTAACAGTTGAGTTTTGATCAAATTTTTACAAAAAACAGAGTTGTCCTGTTTCTTCAAAATGACATATTGAAGACACTCAATCAATGCATTAGCTATTGCCGCCGATTCTGACTTGCTGGCTAACGCAGATTTCTGTTTGAACCTAAAAATAATTCATTTTCTAATGTAAACCACTAATGAAAGCCGATAAGGAAGTGCGAGATATGCATATTTGGGTGCATTGAGTGAAAATTATTTCTTTTTCATCCAGCCGATGTATTTGATTAAAAGTTATTGAATTGAAATATAAGACTTACCCTGAGCAGAGATTTCCAAAAAATGAATCATAAAAGAGTGATAGATTCTCATCAACCGAAGGTGGTAGATGTGATATCATTGGAAGCAAGCTTGGATATATAACAGTAGCATTGCCCCTCCCCCCTTGCTTGAGTATTTTCCATAATTTAGGAAGAAATAATTTATCAATATTTATAAAAGTCCACCACTCCTAAAAAAATATTTGTTCAACAGTGAAGGTTAAATAGCCTCGCTACTTACCTTTATGGTAGACATTGTAAGAAGTGTTGTCTCCCAAACACAAGGTAAAACAGTGGGATCTCCTTCTTCTAAGTTGCCAAAAACGCTACCTACAACTTGTGATCCTCTCCCTTCCAACAAGAACGGAGCTTTCTGACATAAAACTGATAAAGTTTTGAACCAAGCTGCTCTTATATGTGCTACTTTGTGCTTGGCCAACTTCCAAAATTTCCCTAGAAAATATTATTAACTTTGTATTTACAGTACAGTCATGAAATTATATAAAAATAATAATACTAATAGAGACTTTTGAATTTGGAGTGTCTACATAACACATTTGTAGTGAATGGGGCCTGTAAAATTATCAAGAGTTGCACAAGTTTTTTTTCAAAAACATTGAAGGCCTTGTCTTATCAAATCACCAGATCTTTGCTTTGGTTGAGTGCGCTGAAGTCGGAAACTGAGAAGTTCATCATGGCCTGCCAGGATGATGTCTTCAACACCTTAATCTATCGTAGTCGCATGATGGGTATAGAGGTTCCTGTCACCATGTGTAGGGCATGCACTGGATCTGATCCAGCATATGTAATCTCAGGCTATATCCATTGACATACCGTGACCGCAATAATGCGCTATTACCACCTTTGGCACTTCCACAGATAACGGTGTTGTCTTATGCTCGGGATACTGAATCCGTTGTGAAGAATGAAAGTAGATTTCATTGGAAATATTCGTTCCTCACCCTCTGGATAGTACAAGCCAATAAGCCTGATATATATTTTCATATAAGCATTGAATTAGACGAAAAAAAAGATTATCAGATTTTTTGTATCAAGATGGAGAAGTAGAAGGCCAGAAATAAAGATTATTATTGACAATTACTGAAGTTGTCCAGGATTAGCCATCAGTTTTCCGTAACATTTCTGTCACAGCTCCTAGGGATTTGCAGGAATGGTAGTGATAACCTTCAAAGTGACACATATGAAACAGAAATGCAACAGTAAGAGATCAGATGATATAGCTGGATTACTTTGCCAATCCATTGCCTATGAAAACGTTCTTCCAAAAACTCTCTCATGGGAACATTGAAATATGGAAAGTATCCATCCCACTGGCATGTAATTTCGAGTTTTTTTTTTCTAAAATCATATACAGGGCTATTCAAATTCGTTTCTGTACATGGGGATCTCGTAAACGATAGAGTGTCGGTTAAATTATGACAAAGTTGCGTATTTTAGAGACCTATTCAATGATGTGAAGAAATAGAATATAGCTCTTTTGGTTCTGGAGATATACAGGAAAAACCAAAAAATCCCAAATTATTTTNTTTCATTAGTAAATTTAGTTAATGATAACTGTAGTGCTGTTTCACAAGAATGTTTTTTTCGAAAACCACATTGATTGCTAAACATGATTTGATTTTTGTCAATAAACTCTAATAATTGATTATATACTGCTATTTCTAAAACTTTTTTTATTCGCGGTAAGGTATTAATAGGTCTAAATTCACTTGCTTTTACAGTGTTTGTAACTTTAGGTATGGGTATAATGGTACTTATTTTTAATAATTCGGGCAATTGACCATTCTGGAGCGATGTATTGATTAAATTGACGATTGCATGACCAGCTGTTTCAAATACTCACTTCAACATTTTAGAATTCAAGATTTCATAGATACTACATTTATTATCTAATGATCCAATTTTATCATTCAAATCTCTTATTTACATACGCTTTGTCAATAACATTCATTCTTCTGACAATAAAGCTTATATATTATTATGATTATGATTTACATTGATTTGATATTTAATATTCATTTCTAGAGAGGCATAAAAAGACCACAAAGGATTTAGTAAAGGAAATTACTGAATTTCGGGTTCAACAAAGTTCTCAGTTCAAGTCAGAATTTACTTAAAATGCCAAGATTGTCAAAATTTACTATAACTTCGAGTTTGGAATTGGAATTCAAAATTCACCAATATTATTATAAAACTGGGTATATTGGATAATTTCAACTTTACACAGGGAATTTTATTAAATTCCAACTTTGAACTGCAAATTTTAAACTTGGAATTTTATAACGACAATATATAAATAATTTTTTCTAACGGTTCTATTTCATAAATGAATAATTTCAATCAATACCAAATTGAACTATTACAAATACAACTTACCATTTGAGATAATACCATTATTCAATGCTGTAGCACTCTCTATGTGTTGCACTGACACTTTCTCTAAGTATAGACAGTATCCTTGAAGGCACGAAATCAAAACCCGCTCATATTTAGCTTCTGCTTCTTCAGGAGATACCTGCTTTGAACTGCTCAAACTTTGAGCAGTTTGAACTAATAAATTATCACTCAAATAGGTTAGAATTTCTTCTTGGCAGAATGCTATCGCATCTTGAATTTTATTAGGTGGAAAACAATCCTGGAAAATTGAGAGTGATATTAAATGTATTTCCTTAAAGGTAAAGTTAAAAATGAAGTTGAAAATTCTTTCACCTAAGCTGTATTTCATTTTCGATAGAATTGGAAAACAATCCTGGAAAATTGAGAGTGATATTAAATGTATTTCTTTAAAGGTAAAGTTAAAAATGAAGTTAAAAATTCTTTCACCTAAAAAAAGGTACATTATCCACAAGTAACATGGGCTGTATTTCATTTTCAATAGAATTAGAGATTCCTATGAAAAAAACAATAAAGTTACCGGAGATATCAAAAATTTGCTAATAAAAAGTCAATTATTTGGCCTTGCACCATGAACATTTGACAATTTCCTGATGATGCCAAAAAGTGATTTCGATAGACCTATTTCACTCTAGAGGTTTCAATTTTATATATCAAGTTTCTGAAATATTAAGTTCGAAACCAATATTTACCTTGAATGCTTGAGAAGCAATACTAGCAGCAGGTGGGTAGGTATCATACTGCGATGTGAACCAAGGAGCCATTAGTTGTTTCAGATAAGGGGCAATATTCCTCTTAGCTTTGAGCACAATTTGATGATGAACATTATGTGTTGCCTCTCGCACACCATTATCAATGTCAGTAACTAATGTATTATAAAATCTAGGCCAAACGAGCAACATAGATTTAACAGCTTCAGGTTCAGAGGTTTTAATTAACTCTGCCAGTTCTTGTAAACCCTAAAAAACAACATTCATATGGGCAACTGTGAAAATAGTTGAATTTGTAATCATCGTATTTTTTGTACATAAAACTTATGTGAAATATTTCTGTGCATTTATTGATATTTGAATAATGTTAAGATGAAGTCATTTGCAAAAGACATGAATTGGGACAGATGTTTTCAATGTTTCAAAGAGGAATTTTCTTTAAATTCACTGAGAATATCTGTTCCAACAGATTTTATAATGAGAATTTTCGACTGCCTGCCTCAGGTTCATGATTTTATACCAGTCCACTCAATTTCAGTTTTACTCTTTCTAATTTGTGAAGTACTTGCATCCCAGACTTTCAATTCTGTTTTTAGTAAATACATTACTACCATCACTTTTTAAAGATATGTTATTTACATTGAACTTGAGATTGGGACTGTGATAGGACGATAATTTTCCATCAGTCATATCCGGGTTTTTATATATAGAAATTACTTATCCAGTTTTCAATTGCTGAGAAAAACTCTGCTGCTTATAAACTTAGTGGGAATGTCTGGATTTTCTCCCTCTCTTTCTAATTTATATGGCCGTTGGTTCTCATTCGAGCACAGTTGAAATAACGAGGTTACTGAAGCGGCAACCTTTAACTTCAAAGGATAGGGATGAATCTATGATTTGGGTGCCAACAAAACCCAACTAATGTGAACAAACTTAAATCCGACAAAAACAAGAGCAAGATAAAAATGGAACATAGGTTGTCACTGTGGCGATCGATTCCGATCTGATGTAGTTTATTTTTGTGCTATAAAAAAGTTTGTGTATAAATAACTCCCTAATATTTCGACAGTATGGAACAGGATTGATGTATATCTCTATATTTTTTATCTTCTGAGAAAATGTCCGTAACATACAACATCAACCAAAGAACTCAAGAACTATTCATATATCAACATTCTTATGTTTTGTGATTTTCACGTACCCACAGAACTAAAACCTGTGCACATATCCTATTGAAGTATCCTATCTTGTCATTTTTGACAGGTGCTGTCATCTTGTGTTTTAAAGGTAAATTTAACAACAAGACATCCCAGGAATTGTATATACACCATTCTCCATTAGTGGTGTAGGCCCCATATTTCCTGGATTAATTATTAACCTGATTGTAGTTCATCTCGGAAAGTGTTATCGGGTGTTTACTGTTCGGGGAATAAATGTGAATGTTGTCTAATTTCCAAGAATGAAGTAACAACAATGTTTTGTGCCAATTGACCTGAAAGGGATAGTTCACTTATGCAATATTTGATAAAAATTTGGTGAGTACAGTAGTTTCGAAGGTTATTCAGTGTTTGATTTACAAGTAGAATTCATCAAAATAGCTTCCGTTTCTTTCTTTGCATTGGCTGAATACTTCTAAGTTCTGTTGTGTTTGGTGAATTCATTCGATATTTCATGTGGAGAAAATCATTCTGACTGGTTGTCCTGGACCGATTTGTTTATATATATACCGAGCAAAATTCATCAACAGTTTATTTGTGCAAACTAAAGGTTTTGGAATGAGTTGAAACGTTCTGCCATGAATCGAATTGAGGTCAGGCCAAGGGCTTAGCTTTAATTCACTTCTATTCAAACGTAATTTAGTAGATATGGTTCTTTACAAGGACGTATTGTAAATAGTGCTATTAAAAAGTTATATCTTTGTTGCTTTCCCATTAGACTCCTCCAAAAAGCTATAAAATGAACTAATGAGTACAAAGTTGATAAAACACAAGGTGGAGTTGAGGTGAACCTATTTCTGTTCTTTATAATATTTTGCTACTATTCCCTGTTTACATTGNTTGAATCAGTGGAATCAGTAATACGTCCTAGTTTTCTAGCACGTCTGAAGGGGTGAACATAGGATGAAATAAAAAAAAAATCGTATCATGAAAATTGACTACCGGATTGATATTTTTAGTGATCGGTTGAACCTCTGACTTTTCGAGGCCCATCTGAGCGGGTTGAAATGGGGTGAAAAATTTTGACCACCTATAAAATTGGGACATGATATTCTTGGAGGTCCATTCAACAAAATTAAAATAATCCGGATTCTTTATGTCATATGGGGTGGAAATATAAAATGGTATATTATTGAAAATTTAAATTATACACCTACGAGTTTAAGATATGTTAATTGATTGCGATTGATTCAATAAAATAAACATCTTGTCTAATTTTATTTGACGCCTGAGGGGTGGAATTTGAGTTGAAAATTAAAAATTCAATGTTTATACAATCAAATTGACATATTTTATTCCTGTAGGTCGATTTGATGAAATAAATAGGACGTTCGACTTAGAGGCAAAATATTAAAAGCGATCACATTATTGAAAGTGAAAATTGTACATTTTCAAGATTGAGATATATTAATCTTTTTGCTAGGTGTGTAGTTATTCTGGCAGAACCAAATTGAAACTTTCCCTTTAGGTAAATATTTTTAGAACACACCCGATAAAAACGAAAATATTGTTCGAAAATATTTTTCTAGTGCTCGAGGTGTGGAGGGATATAAATATAATGGGAATTTCCTATTCCTCTTATGGCCGATTTTCCACGTGTTGTGTTTTTTAAAAAAATCTGTGGTTTTTGCTATCTGTACCGTTAAGCTAGCAAAACCAAGAATCGAAATCACTGATGAAACCGCAAGACATTTCAAAATCTGAAATTCCGAAAACCAAAATAATAGAAGAAACGAAGATATAGAAAATAATGCCAATTATCAGAGCATATTTTGACAAGAGATGGTGCATATATGAACATATATGAACATTAATATGGCATCATGCTCAATGGATTTCGATTTTCATGGCTACTACTTCCTGAGAAAAAAAACTGAAAAATAAAATTAAACATCCAGTATACTGGATTTGCAAATTGACATTTACATTTTTGTGCGATTTTTATCAATTTTCAATCAATCAATCAGTAAAGATGTGCTTTATGATCTGAACAATATTTTCATAGATATAATAGCTATTACAATGTGATGCTAGGAAAAAATAGAAATACAGTTCAAAATCAGACTAAACTTATGGTCTGAAAATAAATTTCAAAATCCAAATTGGTTCAACTAGTTCAACAGATGTATTTATTATACATTTCATTTCCTAATGAATATTAATATCATTAAATGAGGAGTAAAAATTGTCGACCTAAAAATTGAAATCCCGAAGTTAGGGCTATTCTTTTTTAATTAAAATTCTTCTATGTATCTCACCAAATCCCATCAAAAAAAGTTCATTTATAGTAAATTTTCATATTAACATTATGGTGTTTCTAAAATTCATCAAGAATTTGTGACGGAAACAACGAATCAAATATAAAAAAATGTATGGACACAAAATGAATTTCAACTTTTTACGACCTGAAAAACTGTTTTCGAATTTATAACTTTTACTGATTTTTTTCNGGCAGAGAAAATTAAGAAAATTGTACATCAGAAAATGCGCCTTGTAATAAACACTAGTTATCAAATAATAACTTGCTTTGGAGAAAATTTGGTTTATTTTATATTCGTTATTACCAATATCATAGAGAAATGTAACATTTGGTAATCAAGTTCGTCTGAGTGAGAGGCAAAGCCATTACCAGTGTTTTTCAACCTGTGGGTAAGTCTCCATATTATATATTGTCAGACAAGTCGATTAAATCCGTCAGCATACATTTTTTTTGATCGGGATTTGATGAAGTCGACGAAGGCCGTTATTGCTTAGTCCTGATTGGCTAACGTTCTACCGGTGCTACCGAAGTGCTTGAAAATATGGTAATCGGTTGACGAGAGGTCTGGAGAGTATGGTGGGTGAGGCAGAACTTCGACGGTCAATTCGTTTAATTTTCTAACGTTGATTTATGAAACGGGCGTGGAGCAGAATCGGACTTCTTCTGTTGACCAGTGCTGGCTACTGCTGACGTAATTTTTGATACATTTTGTTGATTTCCTCACAATAAAACATTTGCTGTGATGGTTTGGCCCAGTTGCAAAAAGTTATAGTGAATCACACCATGGTCTTTTTTAGGTGGGTATTTGCTTTTGGGAAGTCCCTGGGTGGCTCAACGGTGTAAAAACACTGTGCTGAACGTCTCATGTTGTCGTAGATAATCCACTTTTCATCAAGGATCGTATTGGTTGCGCAAAAGCAAAGAAGAACAAACCTAAAAGCAGTGACGGCTCGTGCATTGGAGAACAGGGAAGGCTTATGTCATAAAGACTATATTCACACAGAAAAGCCCGCCGGAGGCGCGAAAATTTTTTGGGGTACCGACCTATTTAAAGCAAAATACGTATTTGCATAAATGCAAACAAAAATTGTGTATTGCCAAAAATTATACGTATGAGTATCATACTGCGATGTG